CCGGTCTTTGAAGGCCTAGCAGCAGCATTCATGGTGATATTCGGAATCAGCATCGTCGACTACCTATAGTCCACTCGGTTTCGTTGAAAAAGCGATTTATCAGTTGGGGTACTTCCCTCGTCAGTACTACAAAGTGTGATGGTCATCACAAATTATATTTGGTCAAGATAACCATCCGATAATTTTTCTTTCGATTATCGCGACCTGAACGCTGTTGAAGTTGAAAATATCTTGAGCCACGCTACTGCTCAAAAATTTGTCAAATACTTATCTTGATGATGGGATCCATATCTTAACGATATCTTAAGTAGATATTATTTTGTCTTACATCGAGATTGAGTTATCGAATTTATACAATGTGTGTAATCTAATTGCATAGTAAAGCAACGAGTAAAAGTCATTTTTTCACTTTTATTTTAAAGTACTTTCTATTGATTTTAAAATTTTTTGCTGAATTCCAACGTATTGCGCCGATAGAACAGAGTTTAGCGTGATGTAGTCTGGATCAATTTTAATGGATTATAAAATATTTCAGTTTCCTGTGAAAATAGCCAAAACTGAATTTTTTCACCTAATATAGACAAATACTGGATGTTTGAATATTCTAAGAAAAAAAACAAATGGCTACGAGACTCAACGTGGCCAATAATTTATGCTTCTATAGGTTTTACTTTGTATAATGTCAATGTAGCCCTAAAGCTTTGACGAAACCTGTTATCATGGCGAAATAATACAGTACCAACCTATCGTTCGGCTTCCATTTTAAATAAGACACTTTAGACCATCTATACATGTTCAAAGATCAATATATTTTAAAATTTTACAATAATGAACAACTTTTTCAAAGATCCCTAGAAAATTTGGTCCAGAAAATATTTTCAAATGTGTTTTCACTATAAAAAACATGTTCGAAAGTCTTGATTAGCGAATGACAAAAACCGCAAGACTCTATGAGCCCTTATTATCGAGTAATTTAAACAACAGTCAGAGATTCTATAATATGAAAAGGATAATAATTAAAACGTCCACAGAAATATTTTCACACTAGTCTATCATACTAATGTAGTTTGTCACATTGTGCACCAATTAATAAAAGCTATTAGCACTGTACGTACATGTAATGCGAGGTTCAGAAGTCAATTTTCACTGAAGAAATGTCATCATTTACGATATTTAGTATTTAGGTTCATATCCTACTATATAAAAACTATTAAAAACTTTTTGGATATTTTCGTTTGATATAGATACACTTTGACTACTATATTTTCGTCAAATATCTTTATGGAAACATCGTCAAATTTTAGTTTAGAAAACAAAACAAAACAATGCTTACATTAAAAGAAAAAAAACAATTTTAAGGCAGATAATAGAAGAATAGTAAAGAAATGAAGAAAAACAAAATAGTTTTGAAAAAAAAACACATCTATATGTATAGTAAAACAATCATTCTCATACGATAGTGGCCTGAGTTTTTTGTTTCAAACAAAGTTAAACACTAAAAGAAAAAATTTAAGTAAGAAAACAAGTAAACAATATAAATTGTTTCATTTCATATAAAGTTTTTGTTCAATTCAAGAAAAAAAACATCATGGCAAAATCTTTTTTTTGTTATAATAAATTTATTAATACACACACAAAAATGAACAGGGAAGGTAAAAAATGAATTTTCTTCTATGTCTTATCACATATTCTATCGTTTTTCTCAAAGAAATAGATCGGGTACACACCGGACAAAAGAATGGATAAAAATTGGAATGAATATTTAATTTTTAGTAGTACAAACTGTATTTCTCTTATCAAAGAAAGAAAGAAAAAAAAATTTATAAGTATTATGACGTTAACATTAGAACTATCAAGGCTCATCAGTAATAAAAGAAAAAGAAAAAAAAGCATTGTTGTCGCGTCTATATAAAAAATAACACGTTATCGGTAAAATGACAATCACAGTTAATGAATTTTTTTGTCTAATGGAGGGAAATTTATCGAAGTTGAATTTATATGGAATGTATAAGAATTATTTTTAAAATAGAAAAATGAGCACCATTCTAAAAACGTATCATCCAAGCACCAAACTCAGTTATCAAAGATGGTCTAGAGCTAGTTTAAAGAGGAAAAAAAAACTTTAATTTGATGATGAGGTAGCCGTTGGTGTTAAATCAATATGTAAATAATTATTAGAATATTCATCTGTAGATGATTCTTCTTCACTTTCGATACTTTCATCTGATGATGCTTCCGAATTGTTATTTATATTGTTATTCTGATTTAATGTACTATCATCTTTACTCTTTCTTATCGATGAACAAGCAGCTTGAACTAATGTTAAACTATTATCATTACTGGTAATATGCTTTTTCATATGCCTGTAATAAATGTAAAAGAAAAATAAGGTTACTAACGTTGAAAAACATTTAATTAATAAAATATAACTAACCTATCGAGATTTGTTTGCTGTCCAAAACATTTATCACAATAGGTACAGCGAAATGGACGTTCACGTTTATGAATATTTCTTATATGACGTTGTAAATTAGATGATATAGAAAATGATCGATCACAATATCGACATCGATAAGGTTGCTCACCTAAAACAATAATAATAAGTAAAATAGTAGGACAGCAGAAATAATTTGGTATTGAAGTGGATGAAAAATGTGTTCTAACAGCAGACAGATTGTACAAAAGCGAAAAATGATCAAAAATCTAAATTATAAAGACAATTATCACCTGTATGGGTTCGCAGATGACGGGTTAAATTGGCTGATCTTGGAAATGCTTTTGCACAGTATGAACAAGAGTATCGATCGCGATTTCGCGACATTAAATTATTATGCGTATGATGATGGATGGATGGTGGTGTTGGTGGTGGACTGGATAAAGAGGGAATTGGTGGAAGAATTGTGTCCGGTGTTGTTGATCGATTATTCTCTGGCGTATCTTTCAATGGTATATTCGATCCCGCTTTTATTTCATCATCTATCAATGCAATTGTATCGTTCGTTAATCGTACGGGCGATGTAGAAATTGATTGTCGATCTAGTTTTAAAGTTTGCTTTATTTCAGAAGATAGATCACCACCGAATACGTGTGTTATTCTTTGTGTACATTCTTCAGTTCGTTTAAATGAAAAATCAAGTGGTTCATTATGGCAATTATTTGTTGTTTCTGAACTGGGTGGTGGTAGTGAATTATCGCTGCCACTGGACCGATAACGTTGTCGTTTCAAATTAGGCACGGCACATTTTGATAAATCCATTGGTTCGCTTATTGTTGTTGTTGATAATATACGGTCACGTTTATTCGTTTTTTGTTTTAGTGATACTGAACTTGATGGTGAGGAGGATAAGGGTGATTTTGATGATATTGAACTACTATTACAATGTGGCGATGAAGAATCTTTATCTCGATTATTCATTGTCACTTGGGCTAATGTATTCAACGCAAAATGTGTTGGTAAACAAGATAAAGTTAATGGGATTAATGATGACGTTGATGTGTGTGATTGTGAATGATTTTTCAATGTTTTATCGGTAAATGTTGGATGAAAAAATGGAAAATAGGAAAGACCATTTTCCAATGACGGCCATACATTTCCATTTAAGTTAACTGCTGGTTTTGTTGTAGTAAAAGGCGTCATAGGCGTCGTGGATATTGTCTTTGTTGACGACGGTTGTTGGGATAATGCTGCTGATACTAAATTTGTTTCCTTGCAAGAACTTCTGAAAAATAAATGTATATTTGTACCATGCTGATTATTATACGAAAAACAATTAAAATTTACCGATGTTTATTTAAAGCTACATGACTCTGAAACGACTGTCCACAACCTTTACATTCGATTTGTGTACGTGCATTTGCATGCGAGCGTTTATGACGGCATAAATTTGAGAATTGAGTATAACTCTTTGGACAAAACTAGAAGAAATATAAATTTTAGAATAGACAAATTGTATGACATTTTTAAGTTAGATAAATGTTTTGATACAAAAGACATCATCAACATTTAGTCTACCAGTTAAATCATTTTATACGTTTAAGCTCTAGAATTGCGACCAGAGACATATCTCAATGTCTCGAAGCTTTATTTTCAATTCTTGATCTATTGACGTAATAACTTTAAAACTTATATGAATTATAACATCTGCAAAACACGCAACATTTCTTCCCTTTCAAATGATATGTAGTTCAAGTCAACACAGAATTCTGTATTCTAATCAGTAGTGTCGAATCTACGAAAGTTGCACTAAGCAAGAATAAAATGTCTAGGTAATTTCCCTGAAGTAAAATTTTCTTCGGCGAATGGTGCTTGTGCATTAAATTCTGTATCTCTGATCATAACATACCGTCTACCAATATTGTAAGATTTTTACGTGAAAATGTCATGAACGAACACTTTTGCTAGTTCACTTTTAATGAAAGTTGAACCATGAATATCCATGACTCAAACAGAATCAATTTGTCTATATATCTTACTTCACATTTCCATGGTTTAACACTTGAATGAATATTTCGATGTTGCTTTAAACCACTTGATGTTTGAAAACTTTTACCACAATCATTGCATGAATATAAACGATTTTCACATTCACTTCCACTGGAATTTGAAATATGATTTTCATTTCCGTTCTAAAGAGAGATGAAATAGATGACCCAGATTATCATATTTCACTTTATGTAATTATCTCTTACATTATGATGATGAGCAAAATGTTCACCATTCATTGATTCAATACTTTCGTTATCGTTATGAAAAACTCTAGAAAATAAAAACGAATTGTATCAATTTATTTTTAATGATAAAAACCGTATTAAAGTCGGCAATTTAATTTACATTTAAACATGGAACAAAAGACTTCTCTCCCACTTCGTTTGTCTTTTGACTTTTGTCTCTCTTTCAAAAAATTAAAAAGAAAATGTATAGAGAAAAGAAGTTCTTTTTTTTTCCGTTAAAAATATTATAGTTGTTCCATCTTTCTTTTTCTTTTATTCTATTCACGGGCTATCACTTACAACGAACTACCGTCTTTAATATATGAATATACAGACAATATAAATCTAAAAAATTAAAGTTTGACTGATTAATAATAAATTAATAGTGAGATTCATTTCAAGCCATCACCACCAAGGAAGAGGAAGAAAGAAGATCTTACAATATAGAAAAAGAGAGAGAGAGAGAGAGAGAGAGAGAGAGAGAGAGAGAGAAGTAAATTATACAATTTAGAAATAGTCAAAAAGAAATGATACTCACCTAGAGTCTCTTTTCTCATGCCATTAGGTATGTATTACAGAGGGAAAGAAGAAAACCTTCTCCTCATCATCATAATAATAACAACAACATTCTTCAATCATACAAACAAAAAGGACGCACATACACACACTAGACAAAAGAAATATAATTAACAGTTTGTCTTTTAAATTCTTTATTCTCTCCTTTAGGCAAAATTTTGTTGTTAATTTCTTTAATAAGAGAAAAAAAAATTGACCAGTAAGAAAAACAAGAATAAATCACAAATTCAGATATTGTTGATGTCACATATTCAACTCAATATAGAGGAAATGAACACATTCTTGTTAACCTATGGCGTTTTCTCAGCTTGAATAACATGATTTAAATCATTATACACTTATGTATTGAGCGATAACCCTAGTAACAGCTTTTTTTCAATAAATAAATAAATATGAACATGATCAATAGTTTCTTACAAAAACTACCCTTTGCATAATGATATTAATTCATTAGAAAACGACAAGACGTGATTATGCGGGCAAAATTTTATTATACAAGAGAGAAAATGAGTTTGATTAAAAGCCGCATGACTTTCGATGCTATTATTTAAATACAATCAAAAAACAAAAAAAAGATAGAGGAAAACAGTAAAAACTAACTTATTAATCTACCGATAAATAATATTATCAGAAAATAAACTGGTAGTAAACTCTGTATGAGGGTAATATTTATAAATATGTAATTATTTTTTAGTAACTTCATTTTTTTACACAGCAATTGACTTATTCGTACTATCGCTGTGTCATATATTCTTCCTTCAACTGCTCATTAATTTATGAATCGGGTCAGACCAAAATAGAAAGAACAATAGTATTGTCAAACGGAAGATCGAATGTATCAATATTCAAATTAGTTGTGTATTTTTGACTATATTTTTCACAGATTACATACTGTTCGATATTGACTGCGAAAAAACGGTATGATTATCTACTGTGATACTCGATATCAGTTCAAGATAAGTGTATCCTTAAAATATGTTCGTTTGATATTGGTACATTTCGCAGAAGTTGCTGTTCTCATTCCATATTCTATGTTAATCGTAAGTAAATGGCACACCACATTAGCTCTAACTTCTATCTTACCAATCGAAACTTCTTACCAGATACCAAGAGGACAGAAATGTTTTAGAGAATAAAGTTAACACTGGAGAGAGAACGATTTTTTTCGAAAGTGTGTACAAAAAAAGGAAAAAGAATATCATTATAGGACAAATATGTCAGTAATATGAATATTTTTTTTACACATTGGATTTTAAGAGTTCTACATTCGTCCAAATTTTCACTGCATGGATAAGATATTTACGATATTATCAATTTTTACCATATCAATTAAACACATGCAAAATCATTCTTTTAAAGCTTAAAAATAAAAGAATTCACCCTCTGTTTTTCATTCATTACAAATTCTGTGCTGTTTTCATACTTTTGTCTTATCAATACGACGAAAAAAAAGTATCTTTTCGAAAGTTGTGCATAGTCAGTCATATCATCCTCTCCATTATAATTGTTTATGAACTGATATATAAATCTTGAACAGATTAAAAAATATCAAAATCTTTTATTTAGAAATTCATAATTACTTTTTCCTTTTCTACCTACTTCTGATGGCCTACTTAAAAGTCAATTTTAGTATGTTTTTTGTCTTACCTGCCATTAGTCTGATAAATTTGCTCCATATTAAGTATTACATTTGTCCCAATATGCTGCTCATCATTTGTTGTTGTAAAACTTCCATCCAATGATCCATTTTCGTTTTCATTTATATCAATCGTTTGTTCAACTAGCGAATGTGAGAAAAGAGAGAAAAAAAAAAGAAGTAACAATAATATTCAATTATATATCTATGTATCACTAGACATCAAATATATTTTCACTATATAGTGAGTGTTAAATATTTTTTGTCATATTCGAATAGAGTTAAGCTGTTTGAATCGGAGAAAAAATGGCACTCTATAAAGAGAGATAGGCAGATGTAATTTTCAATTGTCTACTAATGAAAAAAAAAATGTTATGAAAATTGATTAGCGTTGATCGTTTTTCTATTCTAGTAGAAAGCTATTTGAACTGAGACTTATATCTAGGCATTTGCCTCCGATTGAAAAAGCTTAATTCTATCTGAAATGCTGCAAAAAATTTATAATATTGACTGTAATTATGATTCTCTCTATATATGTGTGTGTGTGTATTGTTACATACCATCGTCATTTATTTCTTCTCTTTCATTTAACTCGTTATTGAAGTCTTGCTTTTCTTCATTATCTTCTTCTTCGACATCATCGTGATTTATTGTAATGTTTGAACATCTCATTATTCTCTTATTATTTGTTGTTATAGAAGGATCATTTCGTCGTTTACGATCACTTTCAATATGTAATGGTAAAATTGTCGGATTTCCATCGCCTGTTTTTGATAACAATAATTTTGTCACAGATTTATTTGTACAACTATTTTCATTATTATCAGAATTAAGACGATTTATTAAGGGTGATGATGATACTTGTACAGGTGGTGGTTGAATAGTGATGGGTGATGGTATTGCTGGTTCTAAATAGAGACAAAAATGAGAATTATAAATTACTGATTCGTAAAATAAATTTTTAACACCTCGACAATTTTTTTCTTCTGCTCTAGCGATGTACTTGTTACAAGACAATAAAAGAAAAACACTGCTTAAACTTGTCTGGCGATAAATGAATGAATATGCTTCTGATGGTTAACTATAAAATTTAAAATATATTAGAAAACATGAAAATGACGACCTCATTATCTTTTCTATTGTCCAAAACGTGAATTAAGCGAAAATATATGAGTATGTTGTATGTTCAAGTCCATTTTTAATATCTACAGAATACACATGTATGAGATATGTAAAGTGTTTTTCCTCTTAAAAAAGGAATATATTTTTGAAAAGATCAATTATCCATAATAAGAATATTGAAATAAAAAAAACCATTTGCTATTATCTCGTTAGAGACACCACACAACGATTATCTTTATTCAGATTTTAAAATAGAGTGATAATTGAACATGTTGATCTTTTTTTTTGGTGCCATTTCTTATTAATTTTTTTTTCTTCTTCTTCTTTATATTTGGTGTAATATAAGTGTCTGATGCCAAAATATGAACAATAGACACGTTGAATGATAAATTTAAGTAAAACCTGTGCGGGTATATAAGAGAAAGAAGAAACGGTACTCAAATGAATATAACACGTTTAAAGCAAAACAAAAAACAAAAAAAGCGAGAGCGAAAAAGCGGTATGATTGATTTGTAAGAAGAGTAAGAACTAAGTGTCAAAATCAAACTGGACTCACTCAAAATAGAATATACAATGACTAGAAATATCAATACGACGTATATTTTTCTCTGCTAATTTTTCGTATGTGAAACGTTAAAGTGTGAAGTGACTTTATTATGTTGTTTAGTTACAAAATTTAATAATTGAACTAACCAATTAAGAATCGATCCGTTTCTCATTGTAAAAAGAGAATAGTCAAATATATCACATTTGAGATCAAAAAATTTCTTTTGTATATGAGTAAAAATAAATCTTCTTCTCGTCATTTCAATTTTTCATTTTAACAAATCGTCTCTTTACTCAAAATAACTTTTCATAATTCAACAAGAATAAATTTTTTCATTATTATTAACATAGTTTAACTTACTTTTCATTGATCTTCTTTGAAAATGAAAAATTTTTAATTTAATTGATTTATGATTAAAAAAATTGAGTATATGTGTGTAGACGTGTAGATAGGTATGTTGTTTGGTTATCTTTCATCTCATACTGACTGTTTATGTGTGATTCTTATTTCTTTATATGTGTATGTCGTCCGTATTCCTGCGAATGCCAATAAGAGAGATAAAAAAAAGAAGAAAAAAGAAAAACGTATGTATATGGAATGCAACAACATAAAATCATTCGATGTCATTATGAATTTCTCTCTCATATTCGTTTTTCTTCTCTTCAGAGTAAAGAGAAGAAAAACAGCGAACATGTCACGAAAATAAGCCTATACATAGATATATTCTCATCCAAAATAAAAAAGAAATTTGCTTCCATATCTCTGTGCATATATATGTGCATTGACTTTAATATCGGTTATATGTAGATATGTGTTCTTTTTCTTCTTCTCTTTGTTTCATTTTTCGTTTCTGACGACATTATTGTCATTTTTATGAATGTGTCACATCATCCGAAAATAAGAAATCTAAAATGTGTGTAGATCTATATTCTATGTACTTTTTCCTATTCATGCGATGATAATCTTTCACAAAATTTCAATTCACCTCTCTATAGCAGAACGAAAATTTTTCAACGATATACAGATGAATAGAAGGAGAAGAAGAAGAAGAAGAAAAAAAAAAAAGAAGCTTCCTAATTATCTCCACCAATGATTTGTTAGTAGATTCTCTCTCTCATCAATTTGAAATATATTTTGTCTATTGGTACTCAATTGTCTACTCTGTTTTGTAAGAGAACTGGCTATTAGAATTTGTTCGCACAGACAATTTTTATGTTCGATTATCATCATTATCATAATCAGCATGCTGTTTTGTCACTACATATCTAAGTTGAGTTATTATACTTAGAAACATGAGAGAGAGTAAAATGAGTACACGATTATTTCATTGTACATAAAACGAAAAATATATTTCTTTTATAATTATATGTTATAGAATGATTCTCTCTTCATTCGACTAACTTATAATTTTAAACTGTGTAATTTTTTTTTGTCTCACTCTGTATGTTTTCTACCATCACTATAGAATGAATTATAAACTACTTGTACGGTTTTAATAACGTGATCTTTTTTGATAGTTGCTTGTTATTGTTATCGGTTTTTAGATCATATTTTGAGTTTTTTATTTGAAGATAATTAAGAGAAAAGCCATACACTCACTATACGTGTGAAAAAAATTGAGATTATTAATATCCGTTTGAGAACAATCATCGGAGTAAAAAAGTGTTTTGTTTTTAGGAAGATATAATCAATATAAGAATAAATAATTCATTCTTTTAACTTTGAATATTATAAAATACACGTACAAAGACGATACTAAATGTTAATTTTAGAATCATTTTAAATTTGAAATCATGTGATATCATCACACGATATTATGTATTTAGCAAACCAGATTAATTTAAGTTTAAAAAGACTCATAAAAGACGATTGATTTGATAAAAATGTTTTACTCAGTTATCAATGATAAATTTATATTGGATTGAGCACATTGAGCATAAATTTCAATTTGTCTTACTTTGTGATTGTAAATAAAAATTATTAGACACTTGCTATCATTTATAAATGAACAATAAGTTCTATATGTAGAGAAAAAATTATCAAAAAGAAAATGGTACTATTACTCAAAATTCATTTTATATTAACTTTAGAAGACATGATAAATTTTTCTTTCATCTTCTTTATCCTAATAAAAGTACATATATGATATACACGTAAGAAAGTTGACACTTTTACTTCATGTTTTTTATGATCATCATTTAAGAAAAAAATAAAACGTACATTGTAATTCTCTACTAAGTCAACAAAAAAGGACAAATGCAAAGATAATATTCTTTCGTCATTCTAACATCGACAGGAGAGGATAAATATGTATATATCTTGACAATGAGTGTACATCCACAAAAAATTTCGAAGTAAAATCGACATCATCAATATCTTCTTTATTCTCTCTCTCTCTCTCTCTCTCTCATCCAGCATATTTTTTTTTGTTGTTTTTTTTGTTTTGTTTTTTTTATTCTGTCAATATTTGTTCATTCTCATTATCTTGCTCACAGGAATCGCTTTCGTTGAATGAATATCGACAAGAAAAAAAAATGAAAATAAAATGAGAATAAGAGATCTATAATGTATTTAGTGAAGTGTATATAGGTGTATATATATATATAGAGAGAGAGAGAAATGATTAATAAGTACCTTATTATGTAAAAGAAAATATATTCAGGGTTACATAGAAAATACAGATAAATTCTATTAGCCTAATCAATGATAGATGATACGAACAACTCTTTTGTTAGTAAAGAAAAAAAAATAAAATTAAAATAATATCAATTTTATATAGCTTTTATGAAAATGTGTCCCTTTTTTTTTTCTTTTTTGTATATGTTACACGAAAGAATCATATTTCCATTTTGCTTTTGTCTCTTCATCGTTTTTTAATTTGACTAGTAGATTTTTTTATCTTCATTATTTTTCATACGTATTTATTTATTTATTTATGATCAAAATGGATTTTTTGCTTGAAAATAACAATAGAGAAAACATGTCCACATCTGTGGATTGGTATTTTCTTGGTTAAAAATAGAAAGATACATTTACAAAAAAATATATTTGCTGCTTACTTTATTCGAAAAAATAAACAGACATTTACTAGACTGTAAATAACAGGAACATATAGTAAATCGATCGATAGTAAAAAAGACTTTGAATCATTTTCAGTTTTAATGTTTTTAATGTCATTTTCAGTTGATGATGTCGAGTTTTCGAATAAAATGAGAAATTAGGAGAGATTCAAACTCACTTAGTCTCTGTTGTTTAACGCCAGTCGTTTCAATTGTCCAACTTTAAACCGATGAAACATGGTGTGATTTTAGAAGTTGAATACAAGAACATCATTCTTTTATTTGTAAAATATCTTTCATCGCCAAGATTACTAACAAGTTCAAACTAAAATGTATTCTTCTAATTTACATGACTTTTTCACTTTATTTTATGTTTTTGCATACATTCTCTACTCTATTTATCTACCTTCTTGTGTCTATTGTGAATGAGACAAGCTAGTTATCTTCATTTTAGAATTTTCAATCATTTTCTCTCTCTCTCTCTTTCTATTGATTGTCTATCTTTATTGAGAGTGCAAAGTGTATAGTGCTCTATATATTGTTCCATTTCAATCCCATCTCGTTAATGAAATATGAATAGGAGTGAAATCGATCCAATGCAATGGCTTCGCTCATCTCTCAGAACAATAAACATAATTTTATGGAAGATGAATATATACACAAGCCCTCAAGCTCTTTTTATTTTACTTTTAAAATAATAATAACAACGTATACCTTCTTTGTTTTTTTTCATTTAAATTCACTATTTTTCATTCACATTGTAGACAAAATTCAGTGGTACTCTAAATGGACTATAGGAATTTGTTGTTAATTATGGTGACAGATTTAAATGAGAAATAGACTATTTTCTTCTTCTATCATCATATAGGGGTGGCATCAGCAGTAATATAGATTTATTAAATTGATATCACACGCAGACACACACACACAACAAGAAAAAAAATTGTTAGTTAAAATATTGTTTAAATAGTGACGTTTCATACTCTAATTATTCATCGTTTTTCTTCACTCTTCAAATATCTCTCTCTAAATAATAACAACTAGGAATACAGAAAAACTAGATAAAACAAATGTAGAAAAAGTGCTAAAATATTGGATAAAAAAGGATTCATCATCTAAAAGTTTATCAAACATGTTATGATACTCAAGAAGACGAACATGTTCATATAAAACATTAACACTTTTGGTATATATGCTAATGATATTGAAATGAAAAGTGCGAAATTGAACAAGAAAACATTTTCAAGAATGACACTAAAAAACAGAAATGGTGTAATAAATAAATCTGTTTTCAATCGTTTTATGTTGTCTTGTTTGTTAAATGTGAGAAATTTAAAATTATATATCAAAAAAAGAAATATAACCGACGAACGAAGAGAATATTCAGATCAAATTATTCAGTAGTGAACGAAAAGTTAATTCTTTTTTAGTAAAATGTAAAATTTTCCTATCACTCACTACTGATATATGTTCGAAATAGGACTTGATGTCTCAGATCATTTGAGTTGAAATTATGATATATACAAACATTTTAAAGATGAAGAACGTTTTTTATTCAACATATTAATAGTCAAAGACGAAAAAATTGTCTGATTTTTTGCCGAAAAACGATTATAAAATAATTTGCTAATATTTTAAACACTTTTTGATGAGTATAACTCAAATCTACAAATAAGATTAAATTATTCTCTATATTTCAGTTACAATATGTGTTATTTAAGTGTTATATCGTTAAAAAACAAAGTGACTCTATAATTTACACTAATATAGTGACATATGTTTGTTTTCCTTCTTGATTCTAGGATTAGTCAAATGACATATCTTTTATACATACATACACAACGTATTATCAAACAATGTTTACTTCCTGTGTGTCTATTAACACTTCACTAAATAACTCATTATATAATAGATAAAACGATACTCACTATTAACTGGTATCCGTTTTGCTGCTTTTGGTTTACGTCTCATTTTGAATGGTATATAATCTTTTCAGTGATGATGCTGATGCTGATACTATCGTTGTTTGGTAAAATAACGATCATAGTTTACTTTTTGACAACATTTTTTCTTCTGTTTTTCAATGTTGTTTTTTTTTCTCCTTTGATCCACTCTTCGTTTCTAGTCAAATATACTTTTTAGAGACAATCATATTCTCTTCACAGACTGAATAGAGAATGAAAAAAAATGAAGAATAAAAAAAGATGATCATGGTGTACGTTTTTTTTTTTTTTGTAAGTGTTTAACTTGTCATTCTTCTGATTAAAGTTTTTCTCTCTTTTTTCTTTTTATTTGTTTACTGATTTCA